GAACTTAACAGCCAGAGTGTTGCTATGGCCAGAGTGTTGCTATGGTAAACAAATATAGGAATTTTTAAAGAGTTCATTTATTCTATTGTGGTTTATGTGCTATGTGCTATCAATGAATATGTGCTATCAATGAATGAAGTAGATTTAATGGTAAACAAATATAGTGAGTTTTAAAGTGTGCATTTATTCTATATTGATTTATGCACAGTGGATGAAGTAGATTTAATGTAATCCAGTAAGTTTAAATGAAATGCAAAAAAAAATGCGTATAATTTAATATTTCTGTGCAAGGAAGTCATGTGGTGCACACATCAGATTTTTTTCATTACTATGAACTATGGATTTTCTGTATAGCTCAACATGTTAAAAAGAAATGATTACAATAGCACAATTAAAAAAATTATTATTAAATAATGTTAATTTTATAACATTTTATAATTAAGAAAAGCTCAGAGTATTCCCTATGTTAACATATTTTCCTTTTTATTCCCTATGTTAACCTCCCCCCCTTTTCCAAGAAGTGAGGAATATATTATAGCTTTTTTCCAAAAAAGATGCATTTGACCTTACATTCAAATACCAAAAAAATGGTCATTGAATAAAAATACATATCAATGAAAGCATTTAGTGAACATAGTTAGTTAAAATAACATGCCAAATAACAATTATTTGAGGTGTTAAGACAATAAGAATCAGCATTTGTAAATTTGCAGGACGAGTTTCGAAGGTTTAAATATAAAACTGTTTTCTTCATCTGGAGAAGTGCTAGTCAAGATTTCCTTCCTTTTGTTGTTATCGCCTGAGTACAGACGTTTCTTTCTTCATTTGCATTTTTGTAGCTGAAGAAGATGGTTCTATATTTAAACCTTTGAAACTAGATCTGCAAATGTGTGATTATTACACTGATTCTTGTAGCCTTAATACCTGCAATACAGCATTTGAAAGTGCAACATGTAAAGTTGTAAGTGAAGAAAAAGCATATATTTTGACACCTAGAACAGTGGTTTCAGAATACTGTTTGTAACAGCATAATGATTTATTTATTGTCGAACAGAGGAACTGATGCTGATTAAGTGGTATAAGAAACAACTCAGTATTAACGAAAATATAATTGAACAAATTTATGACACAGGTATATTCTCTTCATCTAATCCAACAATCAAATAAGTGAGTAGATAGCCTTAAAAAAATTGCAAACATAAATGTTAATCTGTCTACATCAGAAAAAAACATAGCTTTAGGATTCTTCTACAATACTGGATATTTTGTGGGTTATGCCAAGAAACTTGTGAATTATTTTTCGCTCAGATTCCAAATAGACAAGCTACCAGACATCCAGCTAACATATAAACAAAGGAATTGGAAAAAATGGCTTAGGGACATTTTGATGTGAACCATAAATTTCATTTTGTTGATCCACAGTAGCTATATAAAATACTGAAAGACTGTGCCACACAAAACGGCAGAATAATAGTTAACAAGACATATAGAGTTCACCATCATCACGAGTCTTACCTTCTGATGTTCATGTGGCAAAAGTTCTTGGGACAAGAAAATACTTCTGAATATGCATGAAAAGCAATCACAGAAACATAGCAGCCACAAAGTACACTGTTGTGCAAAAATTAAGGACGAAGTTGAAAAATTAGCATATCAGCTGAACCAAGAGGCAGAGCGGACAGAAAGACCAATCAGGAGATTAAGTAAGGTGATGTACGGTAGCACATGCGCAGATATGCAGGTAGACGTAATGGGGGAGTGTCTGAGTAGTATCAAGCATGTTGTCGGTGTAAGATCAGTATTTCTGGCAGAGAGATTGCACGCCGTATAGCAGTTAAAATCACATTGAGTTACTGCCTCAGCGAGAAATGGCGAATAATCAATCTGTTCGTTGTTGTTGAGGCATGCTGCCAATTCGTCTTGCAGCGCCAATCAAAGCGCCGGAATCGTTACTGGTGGTAAGGTACGAGCTGCCAAGCGTCTGCCTAGAAAATCCCATACATGCTCAATGGGATTGAGATCCGGAGATCGTGCCGGTTAATCCATACGTTCAATATCCTCACATCTGGATTACATTAGACGACATCTGGATGCTTTTACCCGAGGTCGAATCATTGGGAAGTTGGAGGAAGGCCGCAGTGTGACAAGTGTGGCTGCAGAGTTCGGAATTGCTCACAGCATTGTTTCATGACTTTGGAGACAATTTCAAACTACAGGAACAGCTATCCGAGGGTTTAGTAGTGGTCGTCCACAAGGAACCACACCCGCAGATGACCAGTATATTGCCTTACAGGCCAGAAGAAACAGGCGGCAGACAGCAGGAGAAATCGCTAGACACACAACACAGGCGACTGGACGACCGATATCTCGTTTTACCATGGCCAGAAGACTGCACGGTGGTGGTCTGTCTTCACGACGCCCTGTACGGTGTGTACCTCTAACTCCTACCCATCGGAGAAGGCGTTCTCTGTGGTGCCGGGAACACCAAAATTGGAGAGACAATGAATGGGGACGAGTACTCTTTACAGATGAGAGCAGATTCAGTCTGAGTAGCGATTCTCATTGCATACTCATCTGGAGAGAGCGGGGAAGCCACAATCATCCCTCGAACATCATTGAAAGGGCCAGGTATGGAGGTGGCGGTGTTCTCGTTTGGGGAGGCATCATGCTTGGTAGTCGTACAGACCTTCACATCTTCGATGCAGATTCAGTCAACGGGACCCGTTATTGTAACGAGATTCTTCTTTCATATGTGCGTCTTTTTAGAGGCGCTATGGGTTCGCAGTTCCTTTTCATGGATGACAATGCACCATGTCATCGCACAGTAGCTGCCGAACAGCTCTTAGAGAGTGAGGATATTGAACGTATGGATTAACCGGCACGATCTCCGGATCTCAATCCCATTGAGCATGTATGGGATTTTCTAGGCAGACGCTTGGCAGCTCGTACCTTACCACCAGTAACGATTCCGGCGCTTTGATTGGCGCTGCAAGACGAATTGGCAGCAATGCCTCAACAACTCATTGACACCCTCATTCTCAGCATGGGCAGACGCTGTGAAACCTGCCTAGCAGTCAGGGGAGATCATATCCCCTACTAAAGACCGGATGTTTCTTGCTGGACACCCATCACAGGGATGTTTCGGCCTTCAGTCGCATTGCGCTCCATGCTACTTTTTCAATAAAGCTTCTTTTTATCCTCTGATTTCTCTTTTAGTAAGTGTTGCTTACATTACTTATGTTCTTACGTATTGGGATCTTACGGTATTAAATGTGTTGATTTGGAAAGCTTTTGTACAAAGTTATATTGAAAAAACAGTCTCGTCCTTAATTTTTGCACACCAGTGTATATACAGTCAAAAGTCGTTAATCCGGACTCGTCGGGACTTCGGCGATTCCGGATTATCGATTTTTCCGGATTATAGATCATCAGTTAAATCTGGTAAAATGGCATGCAGAAATTATAAAATTAAAAATATGAAACTGTAATTTACGAAATAAAGAACAATTATGATCTAAAGGGTATCAAAATTTACAAAAAAAAAAAAAAAAAAAGCTTAATATTTATTTGTTTACTTTATTAAACATTTCTTTCAATGTAAGTTGTTTAAGTTGCTTCGTTTTTTATGTGATAATACATTCTCTTTAATTCTATAAACAGACATAATTTCTTGTTCAGTTACAAAGTTCCGCTGTTCAAGTCCTATGATTGCTGTGTCGAGAATACCGACTAATTTGTCAATCGAAATTTTTTGTTTTCAATAACCTCTGTCACTTTCTTCACTATCGGAAGCGAATTATAATGACGAGGAATTTGATTTAAATCATATCAAAGATGGAGTACACGAGATGAAATACTACATTTAATAAGGAATTATAAGCCAAATAAAATAAAAACATCTGCCCTGAAGATAAGGATAGTGCTGACAGATCAACTTCCAATTCATTGCACGCCGCCACGGCGCAACAAACGTTAAAATTTAGATAAACAAACGTTAAAGTTTAGATAAACAAAGGATATGCCTTTATCCATTTTTTGCAGCAATTCCACTTTTTGTTTAATGGACTCCGAAAGATACTTTCGCTTTGTATATCCCTTTACATATTAGTAAATATACATCGGAAATTCTATTTGACATAATCGAAAGTTCAAGCTTACTTTTATAAAATTGCTCTAACAGTCTGCAAAAAATAATAATCCGGATCCAATTCGAAGATTAAGGAACAACGCAATCTGCAACATTAACTGAAATAGATAATTTTAGCTTAGCTTATCCCGTCCGTTATACATTAAATGCGCTTTTGTAAACGTATTTTGCGCATACGCACACGCAAATTCGCAGCGGTATAGGTCTTACGCGCATGCGTCAACGCGACACATGCGCAGAAAGTTTGTAGCTTTGAGGTCCGGATTACAGATCATTCCGGATTATGGGTGTCCGAATTAACGACTTTTGTCTGTATAAGAAATAAACATGAGTCTGGTGATAAACCTGCTGCCAACTTGGGATTAAAGAAACTGCAATAATAAGGAAATATCATTGTTTTCTCACGTATCTCTACGTAATAAAAAACTGGAAACCTAATGCACTTAAATTTTTTTGATGCTATTGGATGCTCCAGGGAAAACAATAATCCTTCCCTTTGAACTAAAAAAATAAGAAGGGGGGAGAAGGGTTTCTAGTGGTTTAGAGGTCCAGATCCTAGATCATTCTGGATATTGGATGTCCGGATTTTGGACTATATACATTTTTTTGGCATATTTACTACAGTTGTTTGCCTTTAAATCAAAGTTTTAACTTGACAGTTCTTATTAAGAAGTCAGGTTTCAGCATAGATTGTGGATTTTAATAACAGATATATTTATACTTCTGTCACTGTAAAGCTATAGCTTGATATATTTTTTTGACCTTTCAGGCATACTTCTATTGTTACAGTTATCATTTTTGTATACTGTCCAAAAATTTATCATTCACACAATTCAGTTTCATTTCATTTCAGTTCTGGAGAACACTTGTGCAGCTTGACATTTGTGTTAGTTTATGCTGGTGTTGTGGCTGCAGTTGTATGGTTTATAATCTTAACATATGCATGGTATTTGCTGGTGGTCCGTGCATCTGGCTCTCCCAAAGATATCATTAAGAAAAAACATTCCAGTTTTCATAGCGCTGCATGGAGTCTTTCTATTGCACTTACTGTTATTATCATGGGCATGAAGGGGGTAAGTTATTTGTTATGATTTTACTGTCATGATTGAAATTCTATTATATTAGTAAAAAATTATTTTTTTTAATTTAAAAGACTTGCAATTTAACATTGTGAATATCAATGCATTGTTTAAAACAGAGGATCCAAACAAAATCCGAAATTTTAAAGGGCGGTCAATAGCCAAAAATATGTATTGGCAATTGATTGACATAATCAAGACCTAACTGATTACAAAATGTTTATTAATAACATTTATAATTAATTATCTTTTGATATAAAGCTACGAGTAGTGTGGGATATCATGTAGTGTGGGACAAATTGAGGAAATAAATACAAGAGGCAAAATATGCAAAAAAATATTTAACATATTTTTAAAATCAATAATATTTTTTAAGCCTATAAATTTTTAGGTAATAAGTGCAATATAAAAAAGTTAAATTCAGAAACACAAAATACAATAAAAATATGAAGAAAGCAAAACTAATGACCACAGCAGAATCTGTGCCCATCTTCCACCTATGCCAGCCATTTAAAACTTTTTAAGAAAGGTTATACTCAAATGGCAATTAAATCATCAGTATGTACACTTTACGTTTGACAAAACAAATACAAGTTAATTGCTACTCCCTCTGCCATTACAATTGAATTATATGCTGTATATTATAGAGAAAAATGGAAGAAGGTTGATGAAGAAAACCATTCTTTTTTTAAAGTGATGTATGCAAAATCACTAGCTTAACACTTTTGCTGCTGGTCATGTGAGGTTGTATTGATAGTTAATGCTGTGTCATAGAATTAGATTGTACTTGTATGCCAACTTACTTATTATGATTTAAAACAGGTAATAAAAGATTATTATTTGTACCACATTGATTGTTAAGCCTTAAAGCATAGAATTTTACCAACACGTTATTGGCACAAGAAGTAAAATTATTTCTGCAATGCCGTATTACATGCTAGCGCAGGGCATTTAAAAATGAATCAAAATAAGTAACAATGTGCATGATTTATGTATGAAACTATATCTCAAACAAATATATATATCACAAATGAATTTATTTTAAGATAGTTGCAATGATACTATTGGAAAATATATACTTTAAAATGTTATTCATGTATGATCTTTGCATGAAATAGAACTTTGTTTTTATTCTAAACCATATATATTTTCTAGTTTCCATCTTTAAAGTCTTGTTAAAAAAGTAATGCTTTGACTTGAATTTCCAGTTAACTAAGTGGAATGTTTTACATTTCAGTCTTCAGTCTAAATTGGTATTGTGAATTTGTTATCTACCATTGGAGTTCTTGTGGTTTTAGATATTACTTTTGATAAATAAGAAACCACAGCCATACCTACAATTTTGCAGGACAACTTTTTTTTTTTTTTCTTGGTGATAGAAGAATCATTTTCACATATACTTTTTATGATCATCATTATCATTATTTTAATACTGCAGATCTGTTTACTGAACACTGACAGACAGAAGTTTATTCACATTAAGTTTATGGATGTCCACTGTTTGCTTGTGCTGTGTAGCTTGTACATTAAGGAAAGCAGTTGTGATTACACTGAACTGCAAGCAGAATAGCATCTTTCAAAAGCTTTGTGCTTAAGATCTTGAACTCTGGCAGTTGTAGGTGCTGTTGTCAAACTGAGATAAAATTTAACACAGAGTATGTCTTGTCAGAGCTCTTTCCACCTCCTTCAGCAGAGCTGAAGAATGAATAGCCCAACAAAACATGTACAACAGGGAACCTCAGAAAAAACTGATGTATGTATCTTATTGCATAACTTTAACACCACAGTAAAATAAATGAAACAAAATGAGACTTGAGAGCAGAAAGAGAGAAAAACCGAATCATTTAAGTGCATTAAAAAAGAATTTTGTATCCTAATTTTTACTTCCTTGTACAAAGTAAAGGATGTTGTAATCTTGGAAAATTTTGGGTGTCGTATTTCAACGAAAATGCCAATTTTGACTGCTCTCGAATCCATTTGAACGATGTTTTTGCATGACATTTGTACCTGCATGCGTACGTACGTGTCTCGCATAACTCAAAAACAACTAGCCTCAGAATGTTGAATTTTCGTATAAGGGACTCTTGTAACTTGTAGTTGTGCACCTCTCTTTTTGGTTGCAATCGGCCACACCAAAAAGTATGTATGTATATATATATATATCTGCTCTGTTACCCAGTTTGGTGAGCTCAAATTTTTATTCTTATATGTTAGTAAATTATGCATTTTTTGCTTTAAAAGTGATTGAATTATGTTATTCTTATGTTCTGTTAAGTTGTTATGCCTTAGTTAATCTGCATGAAATAGTTATAGAATTATCAATAATTTAAAAGTTGTTTGTGCCACTAAGCCTAATGACACCACCATTTATTTCCATTTGATACTTTTAGTATAATTAAGTCAGTTTGTGCTCCACCTTCAGAGTCTTTGACGAGTGGGACCAAAAGTAAACTTTCAGTTTTGTGCACCCAAAAAATCTGGCTGAGTTGCTTGTTTTTTGCATAGAAATTTTAACTGTAAAAAAATGTTTGTAAACTGTTTTTAACTGTATTTGGTGTTTTATGTTTTTCTGTATTTTGCAGTTGTTAATGAAGATGTTTTGAGTTTTTATGTATTTTTGCCTTGCTGCAAAGTGAGAACTGAACTGATTGAATGAGAAATATATCTCGAATGAAATTCGAGGAAAGAAGTTTAAGTGAAATGCAGCAAAAAATGCACAAAATTTAATGGGTCATACAAGGAATTTATGTGGTATCCACATCAGATTTTTTAATCCATTTTTATTTTGCTTAATTAAAATTGTTTGTTTAGAAATTTTCAAACTAGACTATACTATAATGATTCTAGGCTGACTGAAGCCTGACCATGTGAAGTAAGAATACTATATCAGATGAAGAAAGGGAAAAGAATTATAATTCTGTTTCAAATTGTAAACATATTCAGTTCTTGAAATGTGTAGTTTTCTTCCATGTTAACTTCATGTACTTTGGGAAAAAAATAAAAATCTGTTTATTTTTTAAGGATATGAAAGAAATAATTTCCTTTTAGTTAATAGTGTTTTACTTTTTCTATAAGAACTAGTTTGTCTGCTATCAAATGGGTTTAAGGTTACTAAATATTGGTACTGAAACTATTTAATATCAATTTATGTTTTAACTTATAAATAGAATTCATAATTAGTTGAATTCACATTAAGACAAAATTAACAACTTTGTGTCTGATGTTATGCGTATTGATTTTTGGTGATAAAGGACACTGTTCTATGACAATGTATATGCATTAATAGTATTATGAGTTCTAAAATGACATTAAAAATCTCTTATTTATTTAATGTTTTTTAGGAGAGGATTTTTGTAAAATTCAAAAATATTCTGTTTGGTTGAATGCCAGATAGTCAAGCTTTTACTCTATGAGAGATGTGATGAATTAGATAGCTATTTTGATGAGATAATCATTTTGTTAAACAGTGTCCACCAGCTGTAAAAATGTAAATGTTGACTGTATAGGATTTTGTTTTTCCCTCTTGTAAAATTTTTTATTTCTCATTAAATGCTTCTTTTTATTATTATGCATGAATATAAGAGTACTGCTGAGTTATAAAAATAGCCAAGCAAATGTTTTTTTGCCATTTCACAAATTCCCAAATGAGTTGCAAACTGTTCATGGGGATGTAGATAATCAGAATGTACTACCAGTATTTTATTAATAATTTGAAAAAGATGTTATTTTTTCAATAGGCCAATTTCATGTCTTGAGAAAATAGAACTGTAGACATTTGTAGAAAGTATTCATTGCAAATGATCCAGCAAAAAAGTGCACAGCAGTATCTTAAATAATTGAGATTTTCTTTTTAAACTAAGCACATGCAAAAATTTGACTTGGCATTAAGTTATAACGAAATGATGTCATAGCAAATTTTCCTGCCTGCTATTCAGCTTTGTTATGTTCCATCCCCATACATACAGGATTTTATGTTTTGTCTGTTGAATATCTGGTACTGTTCATAAAACAGTTGGCATATTATAACTATTTACTTAAAATTGTTTTAGTTGTTAACTTAGAATCTGAATGTAAATGCAAAGTTGTGTTTTTTTTTTTTTTTTTTTTTCCCCTAAGTTTCCATTATTTGAAATTTTTTGCAGTAAACATTTTTTAGGTGTTGGACCTAAATTTAAGGAAAAGTGAATTTTTAAATTGTAATTTTTTCTGTTAATAAAAAATATACATACAGAAATGTTATTTTAAAGCATTTTAAATTATTATGTATTAATAGCAAAAACTTTGCTTTGTCTTTTTTAGGTAGATGGGGATTCTATGAGTGGAATTTGTTTTGTTGGTTATGATGATGTGTATTTGAGAATGGGATTTCTACTCATCCCCCTTTTAGTTGCAGGCTTTATTAGTTTAGGTTTCTTAGTAGCTGGTAAATGATTTTCATCTGATTATATTGTTCCAAAAATTAATATATGTTATGTATATTCTAAAATGTGCAATCTGCAAATCTAATAGGAAGCTTTGTATTAAATAAGATATGAGGGCAGACATGAGTAAAGACTTAGTTTAATACGAAGCATTTTATTGCAAATTTCTGTGAATGTTTTAATTTATTTGATTTCATGGCTGTAATATTGTGTATTGTTTTATTTAGTTATTTATTCATTTGTTGCCTTTAGGGTAATAATTTTAGGCTTTATCTTGTGTATAATTGAATTTGGGCCTCATCCTTTTGGATATAAATGTTTATTTTTCATATAGATTTGTAGATCTTTCAATTATGAGTTTCATAAAGTTGTTAAAATAGTGAAATTCGGAGATTTTTTTGTAATTTCCTTTTGGAATATCTGAGAAAAATACATGTTTGAAGCACTAGGAGTGGTTTTTCCTGATGCATCCAGATCTTCTAGTCTAATTGCAATTATGAATCTAACAAATAAAAATCCAACAGTAGAAAAAAAAAAAAAAAATCCAGAATCATCTTTTCTATGCCTAAATAGACTAGACCACTGCTTGGTTGGGTGCCATCAAGTGTGGGATCATCAGTAATGAAGTGGGAGACAGACTCACAAAGCATCAATTCTGACTTCTGCATCATACAGCATACCATTACCAGCATCCTATAAAGAAGAAACAAACATTCTACAAAATTCTTAAAAAGTGGGATTAGAGATAGTATTCGGATATGACTGGTTGAAGAATTTACATGTTTATTCAAAAAGCCTTCATGAGTAAAAGGAATATAGTTCCAGAGTTTGTTCCTTCCTCACAGTCTGTGATCTTCCTGTCATATATGTATCATTTCAGCATTAAACGGAATAAAAGTTTTGCCTATCCAGTGACCTAGATCATTATGTTTTAGTTGTCATACATGGCTTTTGCTCAGCTGTGTGTGCTACCTACTGAGCTCTAGAAAACATGGATAGACAAATCATAAGAAAAATCTGCCAAAGTGAAGCTTAAAATTTGTAAAGAAATATTTGTGTATTTGGTGTAGATCTTAAAACGTGCTCAATCAATAAAAAATGCTCAAACAATTTCGACGGCAAACAGGCCCTTCTTCATCAGGAGCAAAGAAATTTGCAAGACTGGAAAGCAGTGGGCATAACATCCCATTTGTACCATACTGCAGTAAAGCAAACAGGAAGATAGCACCATCTGTTGGCAAAATTTGAAACGAAAACTGAAAAATTAAATTAATAGAATTTTAAAAGTGTTAGGAAGGACTGAATTGGACTTTCAAGTCATTAACTAAACAAGCTAATTGTGAATGTGAAAAGCCTCAAAATCTAATTCACCAATGGCAGAAGGTTTTTGGATAACTTCTGCAGAACCAAAGTCAAAATTATGATTGAATTCCCAACTGTGATTAGCTGTCAAAGACTTGTTAATTTGCCTTTTTGGACATATTCATTCTTAATGCAAAACTTCAATGCACTCTTAGTTTGGCCAATATATCTCAAATCACACCGACACAATATACTATAAATTCCCCAAGAATTAAAGTCAGAAATGGAATATTTAAGAAACGAACCTTGGATTTTATTGATATGTGAGAAAAAGAATTGAAAATTGAACTTCCGGAGAATCCATGCAATTTTATAATTAACAAAAGAATGAAATGGAAGCACAACAAGGTTATTAATGCTATTTCTAACAGTGGAATGTCTTCTTTGATGGCAAGTTGAAATTTTTTTAGTGACTTTTATCAATGGTAATGGGAAAAAAATCCCTGGTCAACAGCAACTGCTCTCAAATAATTGAATTCATTAACGAGTAGTGATTTTGAGGAACAAACTCTGAGAGCGCAAAATCCAAAATAGTAAAAAAAAAAGGCTATTTTTTGCTTAGTCGGGTGACATGACTTAACATGGGGCTGTAAATAGACACAAAAGAGCTTACGGTAAAGCAGGATCTATTGAATTTATAATATATAAAATCTGTGATAAATCTTCTTTATTACCATCAAAAAGTGCAAAAGTGTCATTTACATGCATGACTTAATAATTCCAGTTCATAAAACAATTATTGTTACAAATGTTGAATTAGGAAGATCTGTAGTACTCGCTTCTGAGAATATACACTATACTATAACCTTTGTAGCAATGCTTAAATAATGTTAGTAGCTCATACGGTAAACTGAATGAAACTCAGTTGTTTATGTGGTAAGCTTTTTAAGTTCCTTAATGTAGTCAACACATATGGCAAGTAAACACTTACTGTGTACTCACAGGAATAATAGCAATAATAATTAACATATAATGTTATTGTCTCTGGATAACAGAAAATCTTGAAACAAAAAGATAATTCCTCAAATAATTTGACCTCATGTTAATGCCTGCAAGTATAGGACTGAGAGAATTACCCTTAGATATTCTTTTAATTTGACAACCAAAGTGGTTCTGATTCAGACTTTAGTAAGAGAAGTTAACTCTTCAATTTCTGTAATTATTGTAGCCCAGCTTAAAGATATTTTATTGCTCCTTTGACTGGATCATTAGTAAACAGTGATTTAGCATCAAAAGGAGCCGTAATGGAACACAGAAGAAAAATATCTTAAAGTTTATCGACGATAATAAAGTGTGTAATGTCACTAAGATGCAAATGGATGTCATGTAACACCAGATTACTTTCTAAATGGTTAGCTGATATCTCAGTACTCCTTTTTCTAGAACAGGTAACTACAACAATGTTTAAGTAATCCAATGAGAAATTATACTCTTCAAGATACTAAAGAATTTCTGTAATATTTGAAATTTTTTAAATTATTAAAAATATTCAGTATAATCATTTGAAATTTTCTCATTGTACTAAGGTTGTATCTCATCCTATTAAGGTTATATAACTGTAATCCATTCATGGTTTATTACATATCTATCTGAACCACAGTGTACCTGAAAATGCAGAACATATTATGTCAGAATATAATATTCATAACGTCAAGAATATAACATTTAAAAACACTTAATATTTTTCCAAAATTTCTAAGTTGTATTAAAAATCTGAGTTGTATCAAAAATCTGAGTTTATATAAACTATATTTCTTAATTTAATACTTTTTTTTTTCCTTCCTCCCCTCGATTTTTTATAGACTTTATAAGTTCCTTAATTTAGTCTACACATACGGCGAGTATTATACTTGCTCATGTGATATTTGCTCTTGTTGTATACTCATGCGAATAATAGCAATAATAATGAATCTATTTTTAATTGAAGTGAAATTTAAAAAATATTTTTAAGAGCACATTAAGAATGAAACAGCATCAAGAAAAATACTAGAGATGTATTTGGAAAAGCACGAGAAAAATCAATGAAGATTCTCTGCCATCTGCAAATTTCTCGAAACATAGAATGAAATCAGAACCATGTTTTATCTTAGGCATTTGGAATTATTTGAATATGATTTTACAAAGATGAGGTATTGGAAAATATGTATTGAGGTCGAGATAAGGTAACATGAGACACATGCATTCTTGCTATTCTTCTCACTTAACATAAATATGAAAACAGAAAGGACTTCCAGTTTCCTGAAATAAAATATCCAAAGTTTTAGTTATGTGGATTATTTGCTATTTCTACACCATCAAAAATTAATTTAGTTTTTTACATGATTTTCAATTTTTTAATTTGATTTAGATAATATGAAGATATAATATTTACAATGCATACTTTTAAAGAGTTGTTAATTTAATTTAAATGAATCTGTACAGCACAGAGCCATACCGTTCTTGTACCATTTGCCAGTAGTAATGGGGCACAAATACTGCATAAATAAGGATTTGGATGATTATAAAAATATTTAGAAGCAGTTTATGAGATTAGTTTCTTGCAAGGCTCTTATGCTGTACTTTCTTCAAAGTAATTCTTAAACTGGACTATTTTTAAAGTTTTTAATTTTATTTTTTTTTATTAAAATCAGAAATGATTTCAAACTGTAATGTGTCAAAAAGTCGCCAATATATATTTTAGTATTGATTTGATTGTTTTTTTTTTTTTTTTACTAGATGGGAATTAAAGAAACATTTCCTTAGCATACTTATAATCGAAGAGAAATATATTATATTGATTTCTTTAATATAAAAAATAGTTTTTTTATTTACTTTTAGAACAGTAAATATAAAAACACACTTATGCCTTTCATTTTAGAATCTATGCAATTAAAACTTAATTTCATCTGTTTACTTTAGTTCAAATGGAAATTGGCTATGTTTAGGAAAATAAAAGTAACTTCACTAGTTAATTTTTTCAGAATAAGAAGGTGCATTTTATATTGTGTTACAGATGAAAAATGATTTCATTTTTCAACTACATAAATTTATAACTTTTGTTAAAATTAAAAAATAACAAAGATATAAAATTCTCCCTATTACATTAAAAGAAATATTTGTTTTCCCTACAGTAGCAGCTTAATTATCTGAAGTTTTCAGATCCTTTGATTGACTCTCCATGAACTAGCTTTCTCCTACAATTCTCTTAAAATAATTCTTACTGCTCCAGAAACGGAAATGCGGCAAAGAACGTCAGGTCTGTCCCAATAAAAAGAATTCCAGGAAGTTATATTTTTCCTTAAAATCATTTTTTCTTCTCTGGATGGTAGCAAAGATTTCACTTTAATGAATAAATGTATTATAATATACATATTTCCAAATTATCACAGTGAAATTTTTAAATTCCATTGTGGCCAGGTTGGCCAGAAAGTTCAGGATATGGAAATGTGTTTTGTTAGTTAAAAGTCATCATTCTTCATGCAATCGAGCTATAAAAACATCTAATAAAACAAAATAGGCTCCTTTTTTTTATTATATAGGAAAGATGACCAGTAAATCAAGAGAACAGTAAAATATTCAAAAATTATTTACTAAATGAAAGCTATACAAAAAGAATTGAAGATTTAAATTACATATTTTACATTAAATTACTTTATTAGTCATCCACTAGTACCTCCTAAAAAAAGGTTTGGATAAAAAATTTCATATCACTTATTACAAGTAACAAATTTTAAGGTAAATGCCAGCTTTTTTTAGTGAATGTATTATTACTGATTATGGGATTTGATTATCTAGTAGGATATGAATAAAGTATTGAATTTCTTCTTTAAGAAAGTCAGTGTTATTGCAAATTCTTTTAATTATGCATAGTTGGAAATTGATTATATTAATCATAACTCTTTTTGAAATGTTAGAAGTCCAATTTGTCAGTTTGAGTGTGTGAAATTTGAATTCTCTACGTTTATCATAAATTTTAACTTTCATATAATCTGTGGTATTAAGATATAGGTACACTATGTTATTTTCCTGTGGGCTTGCTTTGTTGAGTTTAAGGCATGAAGGATAAATATTTGCTTGCTCAATTTTGTTAAAATTATTGAATGCTATAATGTCATCAATATACCTGTAAACATGTGGAAAAAATTTTCTGTGTTCTATTTCTAGTGACAATTGAAAGTTATATTCTCACGTGAAAAGGAATAATGTACATATAGCTGTTGAAAAACTGTTGCCCATAGGTATTCTTTGAACTTGCTTATAGAATTTTTTATTACAAATGAGGTAATTGTTAAATATTGCAACTTGCAGGAAAAGTTTCCATTCTTCTCTTGAGAATATTTTAACAGTTTGTGGGAAAAGATCAGGGAAAAAAGGAAGGCTCTCATAAATTTTTTCTAAAGGCAAAGAGGTGTAAAGATTTTCAAAATCGTAATAATTAATATCTTCTATTTTAAGTGTCTATAATGTATCTATTGTAGTTTCATTATTATTAATAATCCAGTTGAAGTTGTGGTCTTGAAAATTGAAATTATTGATAATTTCAAGAACTTGTTTAAGTTTTTTAGCAAAAGGATAGTCAATTTGTTTAAAAAAATTTTTTGTACCATTTACTGTGAATCAGAATTTTTTTGTGAAATTTAGGCAGTGCTTAGAGATTTGCAAATCAATTAAAATAGTTGTTGAGTTGAATTTTAAATCTTCTATGCAGTGCACGAAACTTCTTCAGAAGGATTTTTTCATTGGTATTAATAAGTTGATAAGTGTTGGTACTATGGAGTTCATTCAGAATTAAATCATAGTAGCATTTTTTACAAATAATACTGAAGTTATTGCTTGCTTTGTCTATTTTAGTGATAATAAGCTGGTCTTGTAGTTGTTGAATTTTAATTTCGAGAACTTTTTTATTGTGAATTTGTAGAAAGGTAGGTCCGCTGTTGATCCTTTGGACAAAATCTTTTAATAAAGCTTCCTTTCATTCCAGAAAAGTAGACATCTTTTTAATAAAGCTTCCTTCCATTCCAGAAAAGTAGACATAGGTAAGTTGGTACGGTAACTAGTATGAAGGTATTAAGATCATTACTAAATTGTGGAATACTAGAACTTTTGCTGATATGGAAAGTAGGTCAATATTTAGTGCCGTGTTGCCTAAAGTCTCTTAATTCTTGATCCTGTATAATTTTCAGATAGCCTGTGATGATGTGTTAGTGATATAGAACCACAAATTCTTTGTATTCTGATAGTGTGCATATTCAGATGTTTTGAGCAAGAACTTTGAGGTGGTTGGTAATCATGCTTCCGAAAGTTTGAATATACTTATGACAAGGGGGTGACTTTAAAGTGCTAATCTGGTAAAAGATGTTGCGACATTTTAAAAATTTCATTAATTTTGATGTTATAGTAAGGGTGTTTGAAATGAATAGTACAAAAAGTCTTTCTTTTGAAAAAACTACTTTTCCTTAGTTTATAATTGCAGAAATTGATTACTAGATCTTTTACTATTTTGTAACTAGTATAATTTCCTTTAATTAAGTATTTTCCACATTGTTTTTGAAGGTGTGCAGAAAATTGACGACTTTTTTGGCGAAAGACTTTCCTCGAAAGAAATAGGTAAACTTAGAAATTATATTGTCCACATCTTTTGTGGGAAAAAAAAAATTCTGTTACCTTTGCCACTTCCTGTATTACCTCTTTCTGTTGTTTTAATAAAAAATCTAAATTGTCTGTAAATTGAGTCTTTTTTCTAGTTATGAGTTGTCTTGTTAAGATTGTGTTAAACCCATAAGGGTAAAGAGATTTGTGTTGCGGAATGTAGATTGATTCTTTAAAGAGTCTTAACATAGCGTTAGGAACTATATCCAAGATTGCTATTTCAATATTATCAAAATTATGGTATTGAAAATGTTCCAGTACTGCGGTGTAGTTGTCATCATTCATATTTACAATTTTCAAATGTTTAAACATTTTACTATGCGACCTATGGTTATTAATTCTTAGATTTCAGGTAGTTTTTTTTCTGTCCTATATAATGTGAATTTCAATTTTTACATGTTATTTGGTAAATACTATTGAAGGTTTTTCAGAGTGTCTGTTGATGTTTTTCATGAGTAGGTGAAAATTTGACAACTTATAGGTCTTGCAAAGCATACTGCTTCATTCTATAATTTTTATGTTATTAACTGAGCCTGGTGATACAGTAAAGAAGAAGCTAGCCTACTTTACAGTGCAGTTTTTTTTTTTTGGAAGGGAAAACTATCCACATGGAAAAAGAAATTGGGCAAAGCCTTCAAATGCCCTTGCTGCCAAAGTTGGAGTAAAAACCTTTAAATAATGCAAGACGAAGCTAGAAAAAATATTTTGCACATATGCTGCTAAATATTAATCAAGAAATTAGAAAAGTAGACAAAGTTCAATTTATAAAAAACACGAAAGAACTAACAAACTGAAAATTAGCGCCTAGTGCTGCTGAATTTTTTTAATGAATTCTAAAAGTTAAGATTAAAATACTTAGTCAAAGCCATAAGAATATTTGGACTCTACCTATATCTGTTTCCGAATTACATCGCAAAAGAAAAAATTTTTCATAAACAAAATTTTAACAATTAATATTGTTAAAAACATAAAATTGGCAACCTATCAACTGTAAAAACATAGGTTAATCTCTTTTACTCAGAGCTTCAAACAGAACTTGTCAATGGGCCATTTTTATGTTTTTAGCAATTTAAGTTCTAATGTTAACTGTTAAAATTTTGTTTATTAAAAAATTTTTCTTTTGCAATATAATTCAGAAACAGAGGATAGGTAGAGTTCAAATATTCTTATGGCTTTTACTAGGTATTTTAATCTTAACTTTTAATACATATGTTCTGTATTAATTACAGTTTACTCTTCCCACACCTGTATTATAATTTTGGACTTGTGATTATAATTTTTCTTTTATAATCATTTTTACATTAAATGTTTAATATTTTTTACTGCATCTAATTATATAAATTCTGAGTTTGTTTATTTTGGCATTGTTAAGAGTTTTAGAAAATTTGTTTTTTCTTTTACTAGTTTTTCATAATATGGCGAAATAGCTGTACTTGCATTTGAAGTAAAATTTTGCTTTATTAATAAGATGTTGATTTTCAGTGCTGCACAAATTAATAAAAGAGAAACTAAACAGTGAGGAAGTAGCAAACATACAAGTGAAAAAGAATATTCAATGCATGACAGTTAGAATCGGTGAGTAATCTGAGGCTTAATGTTTTGATTCTGAAAAATGTTTAAGCAAGGTATTATGATAGTCCTATTAATGATAGGAGAAACTTCAGTTATATTGTGAAGAATAAAAAAGAAAACCTATGAATTCTCAATGTTAATATATTTTCCTCATTGTTAGTATTTTTTATTAATTCAAGTGTAATTTTCAGCCCTGTTTACAGTGCTTGCTATGGGATTTATAATTACTACTTTGGGTTGTCATTTGTATGATTTTCTGCATCGAGAAGAATGGCAGGAAAGCTTGAGGGAATATATAGTGTAAGTATGATTTCTGCTTTTGTATAATGATTATTCATTTTATACTGTACTTCGCTGGATAATTTGTATCAAAATTAAAATCAGTTTGTATAGTGTTCTAGTTCCTTTTCTTTTGTTTTTAAATTTTTAATATTTAGTTTTGATTAAAGTAATTGTAAAAAATTATTTTATTTACTTAAAACTGAAATTTGAGCAGAATGTATTATTAAATAATACACAATATTTGATATTTATTATTAACTGTTATGAGAATCTATTTTTGCATTATTAAACATTTAATAGCATCACCTTTGGTCAAGCATGTATACTTCAGTAATTCAGTTTTACTTTAGGCTCATAATTTAGCAGAGGATGATTTGTCCGATTGAATATTTTTGTGGTTTTTCTCCATGTATAATGTAAGTGCAAGCTATTTTCTTTTAGGAATCTTCTATAAAATTAGATTTGCTGTAATTGAATAATCCACTTATGTTCATTACATGATTTGCTTTGATTTCTCCTTATGTTGTAAAGGAACATATATTGCTTTCCTTAATTTAAATATGTGTGTTAAATGCACTCAAAATACAAATATTTAAGTGAATCGAAAATTAGAGTGTACTTTTTCTGTATCTGCAATAAATAGTAGAATTAATTTACATGCTTAGCTATCATGGTTTGGCTAATCATATAGTAATGTAACTAAATAACATATGTGCAATTTCTAATACCCTGTAGTTGAAACTTATTACCATACCAAGCCAGTTTTCAACAATGGCCAGTCCTACCCACATAGCACAAAAATATCCTAGGGGGCTATGCGCACATCCTCAGGAAACAGAATAATTCTTCTAGATTAATAACCTTTGAGTGCTGTTTCTCATTAATTAATTGTAACATCTAATGTAATTTTAACAACAGTCAGTAACATTTAATGTCTTCATATCCTTTTCTTTTTTAGAATGATTATTTTTATTTAGGATAGGAGCAGGGGAGGAGGGAGCAAATAGTTATCCTGTATCTTTAAAATTATTTATTCTTATTCAGATTTTGTTTTCCTTTTCATTCCAGAATTATAATTTCGACCTCATTTTTAACTGATGGATCTTGTAATTAGTGTTATTGAAGCTTCCCATATTATTTAAGATCATAAAGCTATTTAATATATTATTTAGCAGAAGCTAGTTACCATGCAAATAAATCTTGAGTCTCAAATATGACATAAATATTCATGGTTTTAAAATGGAAGACATTTGAAATCTTAAAATTTCTCTCTATATGATTGAAAGCATACAAAATCCTCAGATTCTGTATCTTGAAGCTGTTTTTGATCAATTCTGGAATTAAGCTTAGGCAAATAGCTTTTGTGCATTTTGCTGTAATTGAATAATCCACTTATGTTCATTACATGATTTGCTTTGATTTCTCCTTATGTTGTAAAGGAACATATATTGCTTTCCTTAATTTAAATATGTGTGTTAAATGCACTCAAAATACAAATATTTAAGTGAATCGAAAATTAGAGTGTACTTTTTCTGTATCTGCAATAAATAGTAGAATTAATTTACATGCTTAGCTATCATGGTTTGGCTAATCATATAGTAATGTAACTAAATAACATATGTGCAATTTCTAATACCCTGTAGTTGAAACTTATTTACCATACCAAGCCAGTTTTCAACAATGGCCAGTCCTACCCACATAGCACAAAAATATCCTAGGGGGCTATGCGCACATCCTCAGGAAACAGAATATAACCGGAACCTTCTAAACACATTCTTCTGAGTGCTTAATGTCACATCCCAGTATATCCTCAGGACATCCTAAGTCCTATCGACAGCATATAGGATGTTGCCAGGATCTGAAATCCTACTTACTACATCCTCAGGACATCCCTTTAACCTCCTAAACACATCCCATTATATCCTCAGAACATCCTATCTATGTCCTATCGACAGCATATGGTATTTTATTAGGATTTAAAGTCCTACTTACCATATACAGAACATCCCGTAATATCCCAGTTTCCTTCCAAACTCATCCTCCCGAGTGCTTAATGTCACATCTCAGTATACTCTGAGGACATCTTATCTTGGTCCTATCGACAACATATGGGATGTTATCAGGATTTAAAATACTACTTATTATATCCCAGACTATCCCTTTAACCTCTTAAATGCATATTCCCGACTGCTTGACGTTACATCCCAGTATATCTAGGAATCTTCCTTACATTTCAGTGAAGGTGTGATGACCTAAAACCTACTTATTTTCCACAGATAGCCTCAGGTCCTCCTATGATTACTATAGAAAAATAAGAAATGTTGAGAATATTTATACAACTTTATTTTTTTAAAATTTGAATTTCAATTTATTTTATAATTTGTAAATATATCTAAAACTGTAACAAAGGACTTAAAATCAATTATTAATGCAAAATATTAATAATGCAAAATATTAATATAATATAAGAGAAAATTTTGCTTTATTTTTAAGATATTAAAAATATTTCGATCATTTTTAAACGTTCAATAGCTCAAAACTGAATTCTTCAATATATTCAGTTAAATTATTCTACAAAATCAGTTTCTGATTTCATTTAATTTGCATTCAAAATGCTATAATAAAATTAAGCATTTAATAACCTTTACAGGTTTAATGAATCACTTTTTTTTTTAAAGCTTGTAAAAAATTTAGTCTTTTGGTGAGACTGCTGGGAAATTGTTAACAGGAAATTTTATTTTTTGTACTAAATAATCAATTTGTAGCCACAGAATAAATAAATATGAATAAGTACTTTTATTACATGAAAAAAATGTTGTGAGCTTATTTATGTATTTAGTATTTAGTTATAAAAATTATGTTATTGACACTGTTAATAACTCTCTGCATCTTTAGAAAGTAACTCAAGAAACTCTTTTAAAGTTCTACCATTCTGCTCATACATTAAAAACAAAAAGCCTGGTTTATCAATGGAAATTATCAATAGAGATGTCCAAGGGAAAGTAGCAAAACATTTTAAAGGATACCGACCGGAAAGTTATATATCTTCTGTATGTTTGAAAAGTGAAGAAATATATCATCTAATTATATACAAATATTTAATATTTTTAATCAGATATATATGAATTAAATGCATTTTAAATGAATCAGATTTAAAAAAAAAGTAATATTCTTAAGAACTGTGTGTATTGCTTTTAAATAGTTTACCTTGTTACTAACAGATTAGCTTTGAAAGATAAATATCTTACATTTGCCAAATGGCAAGAGACTTGAATGAAAAGTGAAACAAGTTTACAGTGAATGATACGAAGTCACATTTGAAGACTAATAGCCCATCTGGAGGAAAAAAAAGGGAGTATGAAAATAATATGCACTGATTCATTGTTATTAGTTTATGCAAAATTCTATAAATTGAAATTTGCCAGTTGAAATCAGCACCAAATTAAACTTTGTAAATTTGTAATGTCATGCACCTGTTAAAGATTACCTCATCTAGTGTTTTATTACTAACTATTCATTTCAAAGCAAAATTAAACAATAATTGCTATTTACATGACAAATTATCAATATCATAAAGTTTAAGTATGTATTTTATGCAATACAGTATGACTAAATGAAGTTCTATTATATGTTTACTATGATGCCATTTAGGCATTTTATTCTGAAATCAACTCTACCAATTATTACCCCTTTGCACTAGAGGCCTTTTTCGCTCAGGCGAACCAGCCATTTGAGACGATTTTCCGCATATTTAGTGAATTTCTTACAGCTAACTTAACATGATTTCACAGAAATCTAATGGTTCTTTTATGTCTGAAGATATCTATGGTCCTGCAGCTCTTTCACATGATACAAATATATTTTTTTTTTTCCGGTATTTCTTCAAAGTCTGCGCACAGTATCGGTTCTGAATTTTTTGTCGCTTTTGCGGAGTCACTGTCACTTTCCCTATCTAAAACCCTGGATTTTTCTCATTCTTACTCTTCTCTCTTACTTCATCGCTATTTTTATCACTGGTTTGCTTCTGTCTGTTGTCAAGTAATCTATGCACAGACGTAATTTTTTTCTTGACAAACGAAAAATTTAACTCATCTTCATTCGAACTAATTCTTCATCGTATTCCATGCTTATTAGGTTCCATAACTTTGAAAATATTATTCATATTGCCATGACTTTCACGTTCGAACTAACATTGAAGACGCATATATAACAATAAAGCTAAGAAACATATTGAAGATTAAAGATTGGCAGTTGTTTTAAACACATTGTTGTTATTGCACACACATTGCGTTGTTAAATATGCTCTTAACCAAACCTAAAAGCATTGCTACCAGTAGGTCACTACCATCGCGGTAGTCACAAATCGAATAGTAATCGAGAGTGACCTCTCGAGTTAGTGCATCAAAACAAGTGGTGAGCGAGACTGACCTCTCGAGTGCAAAGGGTTAATACTACTAAGTATATTCCGTTTGCTTAATATATGGTGTGTAAAATTTCCTATAAATGTATTAATTAATTTTATTTTGAGATGAGCTTATTCAGCTCTCAATGCCCATGGCAATGTTTAATTCATTCTTCATTTGGTCTCAAAATAGAAATTTAAAAATTATGTGCATTTATATTATAGTGTGAGAAACACTGCTACCTTAATCTGTGACTATATATAGAATATGCAGTGAATTATAGTCAACAAATCATGAAAATACTTACACTTTATTTGTGAAATATTTCATGTATAACATTTTTACATTTTCCCATATATTTCAATTTGAGAATTTCTAGGTATATCAATTTTTTAAAATATCTAAAAATTTTCTGTTTTCAAGGAAAATTTAAGTATTCTGTTACCTTCAGTACATGAGTATTGTTAATTTACTAGATAAAATTACTTAATGTGGAATGAAGAAAGTATTTAACCACTTACTTTTGTAATTTCAACTACTTACGAAAAGTAGTTTAACTTAATTCTCTTATTAAAAAACTTATAATAATGTTAAATCTTCTTGCATTTATTAATA